TCCAAGTCAATGCAAGAGAAAATGGCTTTAAAATCCAAGAGAAGAGTCCTAGAACATGCCTGTTTCCAGCTTCTGGACATGAGCAGAGATTACACACATCCACAAAGAGACATTTTCATCAAGTGGTAGCTATCTGTGAATAGATTACCTGTAAGAATGGTGCCATAGTTCATGGTTGCATGATGCAAGGTCTCCTGATTGTCTTCAAGCAACTAGAAAGGAATGAATGGATGAGGTAATGAATGAAAACATGGCTGTTCTATCATGGATGATCGAGTTAAAATGTTTCCATCTCTTAAGAGTTTCTTACCGCTTTACGGGGATGAGTTCTGTGTTATTTCCAGGGAAAGAAGGCTGTAGGTCCAGTTGTTCATAAAAATAGACTTTAAACTTTCTGCAGGCAAAACAAGTCCTTATTTAGTAGAAAATCCATATGATCTGGTTTGGTTTGGCACTATATCATGTGTTCTTTACATTTCTGTTGCTTTGGGGCGCCGTACCGGAGCATTAGCTCAACTGTACTTATTTTAATCAAAAGGCTAAAAGATGTAAATGTGTGACTGATCTATGTCATTTATAGGTATAACTTTTAACACACTACCAATTTAATCTCAATTTGTGGTTAGGCAGCATTAGCATTAGCTTAGTTCAGGTCTTTTAAAGCCATTTTCTGTGAAAATACATGGATAAATAATACTTTTACTTTGAACCAGAAGCAAGTGATGTGGCCTCAAAATGAAAGAAAACTCTTGATATTCATGAAAACATATTTGAAAAGGAAATGTTCTATTTATCTGAGCTGAGCAGCTAACTAGCTAATGGGTAGTCCTTGCTAGGCCAATAACACTAAAGCCAAGTCCACCCTGGAGGCATCAGCGGCATGGCACTGACGTGGAACACTGCTGCTTCAAATAAAATCCTTTATAGTCTATGGGTTAATCCAAACCAGCTCGCGCCACAAAAATTAGGATTGGCTTCTATTTGTATCCCGAGACACCTCTGGGACACGTCAATTTCCGTAATTATATTATGGCTAGACAGGAAATCACACACCTTATCAGTGTAAAACACCTGGTGACTGTAAAAATAAAAGTCTATGTTGATTACGTATATACATGTGACCTAACTGCTTATACCAGTATCTGATGTAGTTTTCTTTAGTTCTTCGTTGTACACAGTGTGATGAGGGTTTCTTTTAACCTGTGCCGGCTCAGTACCAGTATGTTTCGAGGTGTTTTTCGTGGTTTTAATCCTGGCAGTGGAGATGAGCAACACCACATATGACATTAAACAGTGATATCAAACGTGATTTACTTGGTTTTGTTTCTATTTTAATGGATGATGGCATAAACAAACCGTGATCTTAGAAGTCTCAAATGGTTTCGTGATCTTCAGTAATGACGGAGATGCCGCTTCTTGGCTGAGATTCCTCCGGCGTGGATTGACACTCCACAAAGTGCATGAGTAAACCCTCCTGCTGCCGTTCCACTCCGATCATGTCTCCAGTGTAAATCCAGCATAAAGTTTATTGCTGCTTCAAAAAAAAACTCATTGTGGCTTTAAGGCATTACATTTTGTATTAGGCACAGATTCCCGTGCTTATTGCGGTTTTATCAGAAATTAACAAACATTAGCATTAGGGTTTCCTATTTCTGGCATAAAGAACCACGTGATAAGAAAGTGATGGAACTGTAAAGGTTATAAAACAGTGTTGATTTGAATTGCTTGTTAAATCTGCTTTATGATAGGCATTGCAGTGACTAGCCTTTAGCTTGTCAATCAGGTCTATCTACTAAGTCTGTTCCAAGTTTGTTTTTCCTCAAATAACTAATTAAATATATGAATAAAATCTTGTTTCCAGAAAAGACAAAGTCATGTCTATACAGAAGAAAATTCTAAAGTCGTAGTTTATATTAGAAAAGGAGGATATAAATATTGTGTGCAGGCTGCAGTCGATTAAATGAATGTTGTTCCATTATCTGAAATTGTTTATGCTCTTTCATGAATATTATTTCAAATTTAATTTAAATGTGATATCATTTAGAGGCCATGTTGTGCACCCCTAAAATAAACAACTTCCTGTTAGGGCACAGTTTTTATCTTTGTGTTATACTTTAGCATCTGTTTAAATGAACGGGGGAAAATGATAAAAAATAATATTCTAATAATTATGAGAAGATCTGAACAAAAAGATAGACATTATTATAATTATTATGATTATTATTGCATTTTAAATGATTACATTTCTAGCCATAGAGTAAAACGAGCTGTGTGTGTAGAGCTGGCATGTTAAATGCTGATATGCTTGAAGCCCCACTGAGCTGCTTTGCAGAAGTTAAAAGATAAAATAATGATCTAAATAAGTGTGGGGATTAAAACACATTGATTAATTCAGCCTTGAGTGAAAAATACATAATTACTACTTTAGGGAGTCCTATGCCCCCCTCCCCAACACACACACACACACACACACACACACACACACACACGCACACACACACACACACACACACACACACACACACACACACACACACACACACACACACACCCTGTAATAAAAATGGACCTCAATCACACAGGCGATGCTGTGTGTAATTTCAAGGATTATTAGAAATTCATCAAGTTTCAGCCGTATGAATCCCTTTGATCTCCTCCATCGGGTTGTGAATATGATAAAGTAACACAATATAATTAATTTATTCATGCTATCTGTCCTTATGTGACTCCTACAGAGAAATCTTTCGTTTTCTGTTGACGTATTTAATGAGTAGTGTTTAATTAATGGAGCCCAGACTGAGCTAAAGCATTGCCTTTAAAGGATTTAAACATTTCTTCTTGGTTTTATTGTGGTTTTATTAAATATAGCTGTTATATAGAGCGGTTCCGGTGCAGGAAGACAAATGGCACCTATTCGATTCCAGTTTGTGGTGTCTCTTTTTTTCTTTTTTATTTTTTTTTTATTTTTGAGAGCGTTCAATCACGACAGAGGGATGGACAGATGATGCCTTCCCTGACGGTGAAAGCGTCCCCTTCCGTGTGCTCACTTCTCTGACAGTGTCTCAACATTTGCCTCATCAGACATCAGACTACTAAACTATCTGGAGTGACGGCGCTTCTCAGGGCTCAGAAGGCTCAGAAGTTACTGTAAGACAAGGTGGCGGCCATTATGGACATCCGTGTTTACTTTTCTCTTAATTACTAACCAGAGAATTGATGTGAGTCATCGTTCTCAGTCTGGAGAGATCCGCTCAGATCAGTTAGCTGGCAAGTTCACAGCTCAAGTCTTCCAGTGATGCCAAACAACTTCAGAGAGGAAGATTTAAATACCAAAATGCAATTTCTCTGATGCCCATCAAAGTTTTTGTGCTGTTTAAGTTTGCTGTAATTTTCTGAGCTCTAAAATAAAGTCAGCTATCTTAAAGTTAAACGAACTAAAAAGGCTGAATACTAATAAAAACACCACGTTTACTTAATTTTTGGTCATTTTTGCCACAAAAAGTTGAATACATTTTAAAACAATAGGCCTACGCTATTCCAGTCCAAGGTTTAGTGTAGGTTCCAGTTAAGAGTCCAGCCTGAACGTTAATAATAATAATAATAATTAACAGGGTCTGATATTATACATATTAACAAACTCATGTCCATTATTCTCTATTGGTATGTTTTAAAATAAATAAGAATGTATGTATTCAAGTACTGATGTAGCCTTATAGTCCCTTATTATTTCATATCTACCAGAAAATGTTGCTTCCTTCAGCCTCCGAGAAGTTAAATATTGCAGAGAATTTTAGAACACACCCAATGGTGAAAATCAATTAAGCTCGCTACCATGCTTCATTATTTTACATTGTAAAAATTTACAGAAATATTCACAAAATTTTCACAAGATCTGAACCAGGTGAGAAAGCCCCGCCCCCTTCAGTAGTCAAACGTAGTCTTCACATTCAAATCATCATTCAAAGTTTAAATTGGTCACAAAAATTAGACAACGATTAGCTAATTACGTTTTTATTGTTAGTTGCATTAGTGCCCACATTATTTTAAAGCAGCACCATCTAGATGCTGAAAAGAGTTTTGCACCTTAAGCCCCTTTCGCTACTGCCGTGATTACGGATGAGAGCAATGCCTCTCTTTCATTAATGTGCACCTCTAGCTGGCTAACAGAGCTAAAACTGTCCAGAAGAAATCTCGCCAACTCATCATCAGCTTAGGTACATTCACAAATGCGTGCATGTTCTGGTTGACATCTGTACATAAGAGGATGTCACTCAATTCAATAGCATGGAGCTCTACTGGAGGGGCAGGGCTATCTTAGACAAAAAAAAAAGATGTATTTCCTACATAATAATAATAATAATAATAATGCATTGAACTTATATAGCGCTTTTCAAGACCCCCAAAGACGCTTTCACACACTCTCACACTGCTAGTGATGGTAAACTACTTGTAGCCACAGCCACCCTGGGGAGGTCTGACAGAGGCGAGGCTGCCATTTGGCGCCGTCGGCCCCTCTGACCACCACTAACACAGGCAAGTTGGGTGAAGTATCTTGCCCAAGGACACAACAGCAGGATACCCCTGGCGGGAGCTGGAATCGAACCCATGACCCTCCGATCATGAGGCAACCCACTCTACCACCTGAGCTACTGCTGCCCATATATCACAGTACATTGCTGCCCATTATATCACAGTACAGTGTGAATATCGCTTTTATGGTTAAAAAAATCATACACAATTGTTTAAACGAGAAAACTCCTGGTTGCTGCTTTATTGTACTGGATCTGACTTTGTTTTCTTACAAAAAATATGGTGAAATAAAATTATAAATCATGCTAAAAAATTCTAATAAATATTAAAATATTCATGCAAACTGTTAGAAAAATTGACATACATTTTTAAATGTACGTTTTTATGTTGATTAGATTGGTGATTAGCAAAAATAAACGTACCAGTGGTTGTAAAAGGACCTTTACCTATCCCTCTGCCTCTGTCTTCAGGTGTCATCAGAACAGCTCTACCCAACATGGACCGGGAGACGAGGGACCAGTATGTGCTGGTCATCCAGGCTAAAGACATGGTGGGTCAAATGGGCGGCCTCTCCGGCACCACCTCCGTTACAGTGACGCTGACCGATGTCAACGACAACCCACCTCGGTTCTCTCACAGTAAGACACCTAGTTCTGATTGCCTCCGCAGGGCTGATTAGGTTTATCCATACTACGATCAGCAGCTACTTAGCAATCAGAACCAAAGCACCAGCTCTGTGCTTTACTTTGAATTTTTTATGTAGTTTTTCAGCTCAATATGGCTCTTAAGGGCTATTACCACTGAAAGAAGCACTTGAAATGAGAGAACCAAATGAGTGCACTTGATGAAGGAAATGTTACCAAAGACTGGGATGCAGATTCACAGAGAAAAATATTTTTTTATGAAAAAAGAGAAAAGGAGTCAAAAGAAAGTTAGCGAAGCAGCTCTAAACTTTATCTCACTAGTTTTCTAACTTCCCCAAATTTGTATTTTCGTCAAACTTCAACAAGCGAATTAAATTCAGCTTTCCCGCGAGGTGCACACCTCCCACTTTCATTCTTCATCAGAGCCACCCAGTGTCTGCTCCGGCCCTGGATTCCAGGATCAATCAGGCTTCGCTTTTCATTTGTTGTTGCCAGTCTATTTCACATGCTGCTAATAGGTTCCAGGGCAGGCTTTAGGATTCAAAGGCGTGCGGTGCTTCTCATGATAATCCCGAGCACCAGCAATCAGTTTTACCGCTGATAGCCCAACCGCTGTCCGGCTGGTGCGCTTGCCGCCGCAAGACCACGCAGCTGAGTCAATTTGCCGGTCTCCTGGGGAGGGGGGGAGAAAGATTCCAGTTGGCACAACAAGTCATCAGTGTCGTTTTAACCCAGCTCTGTCACACTGAGAAGAAAGAAGCTTTAGAAGAGTTCTGGATTTTGCTCCTGCTGTTGTGCTCACGGGGTCATGGGTCAGAATCAATACACCATTATGGAGCATTAGAGCAGACAAAATACAGGAGAAATGCTTAGTTGGGGAGGTAGAAGGTGAAGGGAAGGAAGACTGGACTGTAAGGGGTGGGAGGAAGGTGCAAGGATTATACAGAGGGAGGAAAGTCGGGACTTTTTTTGGGGGTCTTTTAAAGAGCTGCCATTCCACGGCAAATTAAAAAGCCATTATAAAGATTACATGGTGGCAAACAATGTCAGGCAGATTAGCATTTAGACGGTGGCTGAGGGAGACACTGAGGAACACAGAAAGGTCTGGTAATGAGCTCTGCCATGGTGATTGGGGAGATTATGATTATGAATATGATTCCCTTCTTTATTCTTAAAAGAGTACTTTAAATTCAGGGAGGTCAAACAAAAGCCCGCAAAACACAATGGAGACTTTTGGAGTAATAGAATCCGCGAGTGGACGTTTCATCCTGTGAAATGTAACAAAGAGATTGAAACGAGACTCCTATTGAGCTTTTCTTCGGTCCTTTTCGGTACATTAGACGGCTTCCAAGAACAGCCAGGAAATGAGAAAGTTTTTTTGTTTGATCCAGTTTTCAAAAACAAGATAGGTGTTGTCCTAACGGCATAATTTACTTTGATCTTCTCTGCTCTCCGTAGTGCAGATTGAAGTAGAAACAAAAAGCTTTATTTATCCTGTTCTGTGTCACCACTTTTGCCTGTTAGTACATGCAGGTTTGTAGCAGATTAAGCTCATCGATTGCAAAGCTCCTCTCCTGTCCTTTTTTTTTTTTTTACCAGAGAGCTATCAATACACCGTGCTGGAGGTGCTGCCTGTCAAATCGGTGGTGGCCAGAATCAAAGCCGCAGATGCTGATATAGGCTCCAATGCAGAGATGGACTACAGGATTATGGACGGTGATGGACCCGGCATGTTCAACATCACTACAGATGAGGAGACACAAGAAGGGGTCATTACCCTTCAAAAGGTACGGGTGGAACAACAGTCCAGTTAATTTTTAGAGATAAAACTCCCATTAAAGGACCACTTTATGGGTTGTTTCAGGGACCAACCAAACCTGATCTGCGGCATCAGAAATGGCCCAGTGGAGTCAGTGGCAGGACTTGTGGTTAACTCATGCTGATTGATTGTTACTCATAAGAAATTACATTCGTTGGTAGAAGTTGCTGTTGAAGCCAAATGAAAGGAAAACGAAAAAAGCAGCATTGCCGCTGCAACTAAACAACTTAAAGTCTCTTTCCGGAGTATTTCTCTTATAAATATTCTCTGGAACCGGTTATTTAAGATGGCGATTTCACGTTTTTTTTTTTTTTTTTCATTTATGTCCTTCTGTAGCTGACAAACGGAGCTAAAACATGTTGTTTTACAAGTATTATTCTCATGTCATGTTGTGTTTTCATAAATTTATATTTTAAAGACTTACTTGTCCATGAAAAATTCATCAGCTCTGCATCAGCCGAGGTATTCCTTAAATTTGAAGCTACTGGTTAGTTCTGGTCGGCGCTCAGTTTCCTATTGCACGGAGCTCAGCAACGTATTACTTATACCACAGTACATTATGAGACTATCACTTTTACGGACTTCTGAAAAATTATACATAATTTCTGAAAGGGGAAAACTCCGGAAAGCTACTTTAAACACACAACACTGAAAAATGGGGTGAAAGCCACCCACAACGCCATCATTGTGGGTGCTTTCTGGTCTTGTGCAGAGCACCGTGAAAAAGTTGCTTCCTGGTCATTGAACGCCATTTTTGATGTCACACAACCACTCCGCCGATTCCCTGAATGGGTTAATTTATGGCATAATTTGACGGAATAAAACTTCTTTTAACGCTAGTAGCATCCATGGAGACCTTTTGGTGCTGATCAGTGGCATCACTCATTGCCGAAACTATCGTGATATCTTGACTTTAATTTTGTACGGTGGAGAGGACCGAGCTATCATACTTCCTTGTCACCCTCCCCCCTCTGAGAAATGCTCCAGGACTCCTATATTGAAAATGTGGCTAATCATGATGCTTTATTAAGCATCAAATAACTAATCACCATTAAATCAAATCTCAGCTTACAGCAGCACGGTATGAGTTACATGATGTCAATAATATAAAAACATGCTTTTTTAAAAATCTTTTTACCAAATGGATGCTAATATCTGAGACTATAGGTTTCATTTTAGTCCCAATTTGTGATTCCAGATGTTACATCCTGATCAAAGAACCTGCCAGCCAGTTTAGCAAAGTGACTTAATCATATTTAATTGAATGTGAATGATTGTAATTCATGTCAGTGTTAGCAGACCGAGACACTGAATGAGCTCCTTGTGTAGCTAAAATCTGATACTCCTCTTTATCAGCGTTGCACAGACGTTACTGAAAAACAAAGGATATTAATTTAAATCGCTGCTCTGAATGACGTGCTGCTTGATGAATGTGGACGGCTCCTGGAGATGATTGTGTTTTTTCTCAGCTGATACAACATTCAGGCTTAGCTGACTAATAGACTGTTTTGTATAAATTTAGTCCTTTTTGATTTGGTTTAGAACAATTTAATGATGTTTGTCTTAAAAGTGTTAATTTAGAATTACATCAAAGATAATAAAAAATACATCATTTGTCGCTTTTACTAAATCGAGATCATTAGAATTGTCTACAGTTTTGCTTCTCTTTTTCAAGCCTGAATAACCCCCCATTAATTTACACAGACTTATATACGTTGTAGCGTAAATCCACATTTCACATTCTCAAATAAACTTTAGTTGGATTCACAAGAAGGACAATGGACTATTTCACACAAAGCTTTTCTTTCTCTCACACTGCAGCAAAAGGGGGAAATTGAAACTGGCCTGCAGTCATATAAATTCCAAGATTCGTTTTCCAGCATATCTGGCTAACTCCTTCGATTCTCTCCCAGGGTCGTAAATTGCACCAATCGACTTAGTTTTCCTTCTTTACCAATCGGAGAAGCAGGACGATATCAGAAACTGGTCTGTTTGATATCCACCCATCAAGGCTGACTCTTACACAAGATATGGGTGGTCATAAAACTTCTCTGGGGTTTTCTTCTGGAAGTTTCCTGACTTAAGTCCTTATAAAACCTTGTATTTTTGTTTATCAACAGTCAAAAAAGGTGTTTTAGGTTGTTTAAAGTTAAAGTTAAAGTGCCATTAGTTGTCACACACACAGGTGTGTGTGCGAAATTTGTTCTCCACATTTGACCCATCCCCTGGGGGAGCGGTGAGCTGCAGACACAGCCATGCTCGGGAACTATTTGGTGGTTTAACCCCCAATCCAACCCCTAATGCTGAGTGTCAAGCAGGGAGGCATTGGGTCCCATTTTTTCAAGTCTTTGGTATGACCCGACCAGGAATCGAACCCCTGATCTCCCAGTCTCAGGGCGGACACTCTACCGCTAGGCCACTGAGAAAGTTTGCCATTTAAAAGAATCAATGTGTTCAAAGTAAATGTGAAACTTTTATCAGTTACAGACATACATGTTGTTTGTGTTCCTCTTTCATGTTAAACCTCTGCCATTTTTGTTTCTCCAGTTAAAATGCATGCCAACGATAAAACAGTCAAGCTTAAGACATGAATTTAGTTCTTTCATTGTTTAAAGTAATGATTTTTGATGCCTTATACAGGTAATCTTGGTAAATGTTGATGCCTCAGACATTGTTTGAAAAGGATGAGTGCCATCCATTGGTTAATAAGTGAAATGCATGTGGGCGTGCCCAAGAAAGTGTATAAGAGGCCAGAGTTCACCCTCGTCGCAGCAGAGCAAAGAACAAAAGGACACCTCTTAGGTGTGTTCTTGCTGTGTCTTTGTAAATCCATGCTTTCGTTCTTTTTTAAACACAGAAACAGTTTTGTTTACCTGTTTGTAGCTACAGTTTCGCCGACAGCTGCCGGCTTCTTCAGGCTGACGCTGATGGTGGCGCGTCACTTCCTTCTCCGTTTATCTGCGGGCAGCAGAGGACGTTGAGGGCGACAACGTCCTCTGCTGCCCGCAGATAAACGGAGAAGGAAGTGACGCGCCACCATCAGCGTCAGCCTGAAGAAGCCGGCAGCTGTCGGCGAAACTGTAGCTACAAACAGGTAAACAAAACTGTTTCTGTGTTTAAAAAAGAACGAAAGCATGGATTTACAAAGACACAGCAAGAACACACCTAAGATGTTCAAAGAGAAATACGGACAACAAGGAACGAAGGACTTCCGCCGTTTGGAACGATTACACCAGAAACGCGCACGTCTAAGAAACCACCTTCGCTTCTGTTTAAGATGCCGGGACGAAAACATCACACCCATAAGCCTACAGCTGAAAACATTGATCCGGACCAAGACAGCACAAAATATAATAGAAAGAGCACAGAGAGCACTGCTCAAGGAGAGGATAAGGAACGTCATAACCAAACAGAGGCGTGTGGAGGACGAACTGGAAAGAGGACACCTGGACTTAAAAAGGAATTACAAACTTGATAAACAAATGGAGGAACTAATTAAAGGACACATGATGGAAAAACAGGAAAAAGAGTTCATAAAAGTAAAAGAAAGACACATAAAGAAGTTAAACAGACTCATAAACAAGAAAAAGAGGGGAGAAATACAAGGCAACTCCACACCAAACTCATGGGTATGTAACATTTCACAATACAAACTAACAGAAGCAGAAGAGAGCATATTAAAGAAAGGTTTAAACTTTGCAGTCACACCAAAAGAAATACCATATGATGAATTTATTGTAGCAACAGAACTAGCATGTCAACAGATCACAGATGAGGGAAAGAAAGCAGAACTCAGAAATAACATAGTTGGGATATTAAAAAACAGCCAAATTCAACACAGCAATATTACAAAAGAAGAACAATCAGACAGCTTTATCCAAAAATGAACAGATAATTATTCTACCGGCAGATAAAGGAAGAACCACAGTAGTTATGGACAGAGAAAAATATAAACAACAGATGAAACAGATGCTAGAGGACAAAAATACATATGAAATACTTAAAAAAGATCCAACAGAAAACATTAAGAAAAACATGAAAAAATTACTGAAGCCACTGCACGAAAAAGGCAAAATAACAGAAAAAATGTACAAACACTGGATTCCCACGGCGAATATAACACCAAGAATATATGGAACGCCAAAAATACATAAACAAAACACCCCACTTAGACCAATAGTTGACAGCATAGGTACACCAACATACAACATGGCAAAAGATATCAGCAGAATTATCAGCCCATTAGGAAATACAGACCAACACTGCAAAAATAGTATAGAATTGGCAAAAGAACTAAAGGAAATTACAATAGAAGACAACGACATACTCATCTCACATGACGTCACATCTCTGTTCAAAAAAACACCAACCCAAAAAACCATAGACATAGTAGTTAACAGAATCAGACAAGACAAAACTTTACACAAAAGGACAAACCTCACAGCAGATGACATAGCACAACTGATAGGACTGGTAGCTAACTCCACTTACTTCACATACGAAAACACAATATACAAACAACTGGAAGGCTTCGCCATGGGTAACCCGTTATCAGCCACCCTGTGCAAATTTTTCATGGAAAACCTAGAACAAAAAGCCATAGCCACCGCCCCCCCAAACTGCAAAATAAAACTATGGAAACGCTACGTGGATGACATACTGGAAATCATACCAAAAGGTCAAACAGATACACTAACACAATACTTAAACAATATTGACGACACGGGCAACATAAAAATTCACTTATGAGTTAGAAACAGAAGGCAGCATAGCATTTATGGATATGAAAATCACCAGACAGACCGACGGGACCCTAAACATAAACACATACAGGAAACCAACACACACAGACCAATATCTATTATGGACATCAGAACACCCCACCATACACAAAATGTCAGTAATCAGAACATTATATCACCGAGCAAACATAATAACAGAAGAGAGAGACCGTAAACAAGAGGACAAACACATACAACACGCTTTAAAGACCTGCGCATACCCGACATGGGCAATAAACAAAGGAAAACAACAAACAAAAACAGAAAGCAAAGAACAACCCAAAAAAAGAACCAGAAACCCAGAAAGACAAGAACCAAAACCAGTGATAACCCTACCATACATCAGAGGCATAACGGAAAAAATAAGAGCAACAATGAAAAAACACAACATAAACACACCAACAAAGCCATACACAACAGTTAGAAACAGACTAGTACACCCAAAAGACAAAATATCAGCTGGACAAAAATGTGGAGTCATCTACGAAATCCCATGCAAAATATGCAATAAAACATACATAGGAGAAACCGGACGCCAACTCAATACACGGACAATAGAACACAGAAAGGAGTGCGAGAAAGAGGCAAATCGTAAACACACAAGAGCAGCAAAAGAAGAAGCAGAAAGTACAATAAAAAAGTCAGCCGTAACAGATCATTGCTTAAGAGAAAACCATATAATGGACTGGGACAACACACGGATCATAACCACCGAACAAAAATACAAAAGATGGATCAAGGAAGCAATCGAGATAAGGAGACGTGGATGTGGGACCATGAACAGGGACGACGGAGTTTACACGCTGGACCACGCATGGGACTGCATCGTCGGAGAGGGGAGAGCGGGCAGTAGAGGGCGACAACGTCCTCTGCTGCCCGCAGATAAACGGAGAAGGAAGTGACGCGCCACCATCAGCGTCAGCCTGAAGAAGCCGGCAGCTGTCGGCGAAACTGTAGCTACAAACAGGTAAACAAAACTGTTTCTGTGTTTAAAAAAGAACGAAAGCATGAAAAGGACACCTTATGTAAATCCCTGCTAGGCTTTTCCATCTCGCCTAGTAACGCCGTCGCTCTCAAAGTTTTCAAGTCATTAGCTCTCAAAAGTTACGGTAGAACTTAGAAACATACGTCAAAACGGAAATCGGGCTGGTCCAGTAAAGTTTTCACAATAACAGGATTTCCCCCAAGAAATGAGTTAAGCCTGGCGGCGGGGGGGTCACGCGCTCCGTCCCGCAGCAGAGCGCCTCTGTGAGAGAAGGGGTGCACACGTTCCGCTGCTGTTTCTCACCAGTATCAGCTGATGGAGGGCTCTAGTTTGGTTGCGCCATTTGTGTCAGCGAACACGGTAGGATCGGGGAGGAGGCGAGGCATGATGCTTAGCCAGGCGGGTGGGCAAGCAAAGCCTGGCAGCCCGCCAGGCTTATAAAGCGCTGGGGGAAACCCTGACGATAAGAGTTAAAACTAATTAGGAACAGTTTTTGACCCGGCATCGTTTTTGATCATTTGGACCCGCGCTCTGAATTCCACGTTTCGGTGCACCTGAAGTGAAGGAACCTAAATTCAAGCTATTCCCGGGGAACAAGGTTTTCCGAATTACACAGAGACCGTCGACCAATCTCCTATAGTCCCAGAAGAAGCCTCTTCAAAAGCGAGGACTTCTCAGCTGACTCAGCTTTGCCCCCCCCACCCCCACGCGCGATGAGGAAAAAGGTCTGTGTTTCAATTCCTTTGGCTGACTTTTATGCTAAGCCCCATTAGTGAATTCAGATTATAAGATTTTATGGCGTGTTTTATTTCAAGCCAAATCCACAGTAACTATTAGGGCTTCTCCTCATTTCTCTGCTGCCACCAACTCTCATTTGCATGCACACACACACACACACACACACACACACACACACACACACACACACACACACACACACACACACACACACACACACACACACACACACACACACACACACACACGCACACACACACACACACACCAACGTCACCTAGACCCACATGACAGTCCAATTTGTTCCCCTTTAGAAACTATCCTCAATTCTACTATAATCTTGTGTGTGTCACCAAATCTTCACTGTTTATTACAGATCAGTTTGTTCCATATCACTGCCATAAAGCTTTGGGTTTATGCACTTATTTCCATGCATGAAACTACAAACACGTATGTTTGGTTCATTTGTCATCTGTACTGATGCTTGTAATCAACTCACAAAACATAAATAGCATCTGATCATTTCTAGCGATCTCGAGAATAGTCAGTGCATTCTGGCAAGAATTCATCCTTTAGATTAATTTGTGGTGTTAAATTTGAGACTGATTACATTAAACAAATCTGAATATCAAATTCAAGTGTTCTAAGTTAACACTAACAAAAATTTGGTGGTGCCCCAATTAACTAATATAAGATTATAAACAATTAAACAACATTTCTTGCTACAATGTAGATACCCTGTGAACTGGTGTTGCCTATGGGAGCTGCCGTAGTGGCCAGACGCCATCCTGGATGGGTCTCCATTTGCCCCAGTGCACTTATTTTCACTGATGAAGGCTCTTATCCAACTAAAAACTATTTTTATTAAGTTTTTTTTTTTTACAAATTCTGACACGTTTTATGCCATAATTAAATTATAAATATCATTAAACAATAACTATTACTACATAAAAATATTTAAATATAAAATCCCAACACGTAGGCTAGAAAAGTCCCAGAAAAGTCCTTCGCCATCTGCTTTCAACATTGTGCCAGTTGTTGCAACCGTAGGCTGTGCATTGTTGCTCACCCAGCATTGACCAGTTAGGTTTGGAGAGTGAGGAGACCCATCCAATATGGCGGTGATGCTGTTACATTCTCCAACGCTCAATGAGGCATCTACGTATTCTTGTCTATGAGGCAGCATGTCTATGGGGGAGTAGCTCAACAGGTTGAGCGGGTTGTCCAGTAATCGGAAGGTTGCAGGTTCGATCCTGGCTCCGGACAGAGAATTCTGCTGTTGTGTCCTTGGGCAAGACACTTAACCCACCTTGCCTGGTCGGAGGGACCGGTGGTGCATGTGCTCGGCAGCCTAGGCTCTGTTAGTGTGCCCCAAGGAAGCTGTGGCTACATAGTAGCTCATCACCATCAGTGTGTTAATGTGTGTGTGAATGGGTGAATGATACACTGTAGTGTAAAGTGCTTTGGAGTCCTTACTCTGAGAGGCGCTATATACGTGCAGGTCATATATGAATTTACATGGATGGGGGGAGGGGCTTATAATGTATACTGCAACCAGTAACCAGATGGTGATGGTTCCTGGCTTCAAAGTATTTCTCTTAGTTTTGATGCTTTTTTACATTTTAAAAAATAGCCATGGCCCTAGAGTTCAAAAAGATTAAATAAAATTTTTGAAAACAATTAGCATTTTTCTTCAACTGAATTTCATTCAAACTAATTAGCATGATAATATAAAAAGCAATGGACTGGCTACCTGTCTTGGGTCTACCCTGCCTGTTTGCTCGAAGAATGCTGGAGATAGGCACCAGCACCGGCACCAGCACCCCGCGACCCTGCGTGGATAAGCGGGTATATAAAATGGATGGATGGATTTTAAAAGATCATGTACAATTAAATCCCGAAGAAGTATCCCAGACTAGACATACTAATGGATCAAAGTATCAGTTTAAATATTTCTTTTTTTTTTTGGCATTTATCAATTGTTATTCAAGCAATTTTGAATGGTTGTAATATCAGGAATCAGCTATCAGTGTTTACATAAATATCCATATGAAACATAACATTTAGATAAATGCTGCTTTTATTTATCTCCATCTATGGTATCGGGGAAACTCTTGGTCCTTTTTACTGACACTTTAACCTAAAACTAAACATATATGATTACATTACCACGGTGATTATGACAGGTTCAATAAAGTCTTATTTGGTACAGGAAAAGCTGACGTAACGTAACTTTTAATCTCCTTTCATCCTGCATCTTAGTAGACTTTCAGATACAAATTTAATTAAAAATTCACACCGAATAACAATTTCTAGAAGAAATTACATAGTTTACCTTAAGTTTGTCAAGTCAGGTCTAAAATACCAGACAAAAAGCATTCTGACTTCAGGTTTATTCCAGAGAGCTTTTGGGCGACTGGTTGGATTTAAAGGTTTCAGCCCTGAAATGGTCTCCCCAGGCCACCATCAATGTGACAGCTCATTGTTGCAACTCTTTTGTAAGAAAGATGGACACAACATTTCTTGTCAGACCGGCCAATTAGATCCTTTGTTTGTTTTGTACTAAACTCAAACAATTACAACAGACAAAAAGTCTCTGACAATGAAAATGTCAAACCAAACTGCTCAGTGTTGAAAATAAAGGTTCAATAAGCCATAAAATGTATTTGAAAGCATTTCTACAATCATTTGATATTGCCTTGTGATTTTTGAGTACATTACTAACAGAATCACCCTTTGGCTTCTCTGTCCTTTTGTTCCTTTTAGCCTTTAGACTTCGAGACAAGAAACAGCTTTTCTCTAAGAGTCGAAGCCACAAACAGGAATATTGACTCCAACTTCTTAAGCTTGGGTCCATTTAGTGACATAACATCTGTCAGGGTGACAGTGGAAGATGTGAATGAGCCGCCAATCTTTTCCTCACCACTCAACAAGATGGTGGTTTCAGAAGACGCCAAGGTGGGCACCTCCATCGGGAGAGTATCCGCCCATGACCCGGATACCTCCAGCAGTGCAATCAGGTACTTTTTGGTCAACGAGGTAACTGAATGTCTTCCGGCTATCTTTGTGGGATTTTTGAGGCATCAAAGTGACCTGGGGTCTTGAAGTCAAAATACTGTCATTACGCCTAATGTAATGGTGGGCAAATAGTGGTATACCTTATTTCTTTTTCTTTTTTTCAATCTTGGTTTTTGTCATCCATTTACATCCAGGAATTTCGTTTAAGACAACATCAACATTCCCAAAACATTTTGGGGGTCAGGTCTAAGACGGAAGATGGAGTTTGACTCAACCCACCACTGTTACACTAGTGAGTCACAAAGTGTGGTAGTAAGTGTGTAGTATTAATACCACCAAAATGGTCAACACATGACAAAGCTATTTAGTTTTGCAGGTCAACGGCATGACCAGGGGATGACAAACAGTCTAACCCCTTCTTTCCACAGCACGTGAAAGTGGCATGAAACCGCCGCGAAACGTAGTACGCAGCAATTAGTCGCCTTTATAGTGGATGACTTCCTTTCCACTGGCATCAGAGTGTGATGTTTTGGATGCACCCCATGAGCAAAGGGACGCTATAATTACATTGAGAGTCTATTTTTACGCTCTACGCTTCCAAAACACATCAAACTCCACAGTTTAGATCGCACCAGACATGATGTCAATCACAAAATCAGTGTAAAACATCTGGAAATTTTCACAATACACGTTGCATTCAGGTAATGCTGACTTACTGATCACATCCTTGAATAACAGCCAGCATTTTTGACAATAGATAAATGATCACCACACTAGATTACCATCTCTCCTCCTAGTACATTAACATGTTTATTTATTTATTATTTTTTACCTTTGTCAGATTGCCATTTTATGCCCACTTATATTTGCACTATATCTGCACAATAGAATGCCTGTGCTCGGCTTCTGACCAAGTCCTTCAAACACACCCACATCACCCCACTTCTTCTCCAGCTTCATTGGTTGCCAGTCAACTTTAGGGTTCATTTCAAGATCTTGGTTTTCGTCTATAGGGCCTTGCATGGACAAGCACCATCATACATTGGTGATCTTCTTAGTCCCTACACCCCCAGCAGGTCCCTTAGGTCCAGTAATCAAAGCCTACTGGTTGTGCAGCGCACCAGGCAAAGACCAAAGGTGACAGATCATCTGCTGCTGTGGCCCCCAGACTCTGGACCTCTCTCCCCCTGAGCCTGAGATCAGTGGACTCAGTGGTCTCCTTTAAAAAGCATCTAAAAACTCACTTGTTCAGGCTGGCTTTTGTGTGACCTTCATCACCCTCTCCTTGTTCTGCTCTCCCTACCAATTTCACCTTCCTTAGGATCCACTGATTTCCCTCTTTCCTGTTCACTCTCTCTCTTTCCTTACATTTTTAATCACAATTGTCTATTTTTGCTCATTTTAAATATATTTTTTATATTTTAACATTTTTTGTTTTTGTGAAGCGCCTTGTGATTTTTATCTTGAGAGGCGCTATAGAAAAGATCTTTTCTTCATCGTCTTCTATATCTAGATCTCCTTGCGCAAAACCAGCTAAGTTTGAGACGTCTTCTTAGTGTGTTAAGGTGGTGTTTTACACCAATGCGGCAAGTCAGCTGGAAAGTCTTGAGTGGGTCATGCAAAAAAATCTATGCCTTTTGAGTTTCATTTCACACCTGCATCAGTTTCTTTTATTTCCCCTTAATTAATGAAAGTTATGGCTTCTTTCAATTTAAAATGTGATTGCAGAAAAGCATTCCCTATACCCAAACAAATGAGTTATTCATTTAGCTCCCCCACATTATGTACAAACACCAACTCTATGGGCCCTCGAGAGATCCCATGTGACTTTTACAAAGATGGTAGCAGATGGTGGGTGGGCCAAGTAGTGCTGCATTTGCAAAAGTAAAATGCCATCTTGACCAAGTGAAGGGCATTCCTGCAGGAGGGTCAAAGCCTGGTTCTTGTACCGTGGTATTTATGACTCCAAACAAACTCACATTGTTAGTCTGGGCTGCATAGCTGTCCAGCTCCACACCCATCCTGCCTTAATTGAAAGAATATTGTCTAGTTTTCATGCCTGCTCTGTTAGGATTGTTAGTAATCTTAATCAGAAAATCTAATTACTGCTCTATTGTAGCTGCAAATTGCCTTTTTTTGCCCCTTGTGACTGTTATCAGAATCAGTAATATATTTCACTACATCTGTTGAAATTAAAATTTTTGTGGAACTAATGCAGCCACAAGAGTCAAATTACATTGCAATAATACCCCTTGGATGTATGCTAATTGAAGTTGCAATTTTCTCAAGAAATATGAGTCAGTGGGTATAGAAGAGGGCTCGATCAGTGTTGTGTGTTGAGGGACAAGACACTTTTCTGTTAAATAGGGGTTTGTTTAATTCATGCTATTATGTTCCAAGTAGTGTCTGTTTCTCTAGATCTGTTCTGTTTAGAGACCAGTGGGAAAATATGTTGTGCCAGTGCAATTTATTGATGTTTTGATAAAGATCAATATTTCAACGCCACATAAATTGATGGAAAAGGACATAATCATAATCTTTCCCTACAGGTTGAATAAACTGCTGCATTAAAATGTCAAATCAATAAGAGTAAAAGCAATGTTTTTAAAGCGTTACGAGCGTAGCTGTGTGTTTGTGTCTAGGTACTCCATCGACAGGAACACGGACTTGGACCGCTTCTTTAATGTGGACGCTCTGAGTGGGGTCATCAGCACAGCCAAGCCTCTGGACCGAGAAGTCAATTCAGTTCATAATCTTACCATCTGGGCCACTGAGAGCCGTAAGTTCAACACCAGCACATACCTCAAACTCAAAACTGATGTTTGAGTCAAAGTGGGCAGTCTGTTTGCTCCATTGAGATGCAATTGTCTAATCACACACCTTTAAAAGACTCTGTGTTTTAGAAGCTTTAAAAGGCAGATTTTTTTGGTGCTTACTATAGCATGTCTAGCTACATAACTATTTCTTGATGCTTACTTGTGTGATAATTGTACTTTTAATATTTCCAAATGAGCCTTTTCTGTGCGTTTTAGCTTATATCATTTTGAAAATTTAAATTTTGCTTCATATTTAGTCGGTAACCACCTAGCCTGGCAAGCTATCCTATATATGTGAATACATTGTCTGGCCACGACCCAATGACGGCTCTCAGTCGTGGGTTGGGACCTACAGATATCCATCAAACTGTCTCCACATGCTATTGGACATTGAAAAATGTGACGTCCTCGCCATAATGGATGTCAGTCAGTGGAGCAGTCCACCATATACACTGCTGAAGAAGACGCAACTACATCCTTTTGCTCGACTAAAAAAAAAAAAAAAAAAAAGAATAAAAAGCCCAAGTCTAAATAGGCCAAAGTTGATGCTAAAGCCATTTTAAACAAGCCGTCACTATTTTAGTTTCACTTAGTTGCAGTAACATCCTGCCCACCAAACAGATAAAGCTCTGTGATTTGGCCACCGAAACAATATAGCTCTGTGATTGCAACCAAACTGATAGGGCACTGTGATTGGGCAACCAAAATGCATAGAATGCTATGATTGGGCCACCAAACAGATAAAGCGCTGGGATTTGCCAATCAAACCGATAGGGTGCTGGGATTGGCCAACCACCTGACTGGCTTATACTGAGGCTCCAGTGGAGCGTGGCTAGTCCAATCAGCAGAACAAAATCATCCTGCTTCTGTCTGTCTAGATTTCTAGGCTAGTAACTGCCATCACTTTGTTAAAATGCTTACTCCGACATCTGCCTCAATCATCTTGTTAAAGTTTTGACATTTTGAAGCAGAAGTTCTTTCTAAATTTTGGGCTTTTATTTTTGCAAAAAAACTCCCTTCAGCACTCAGTGTTACATAAAGAAACCTTTCCTTACCCTCATTTTAGTTTTCTGGACGGAGGAAATTCTAGCGCGGAGCTGTGTGGTTGATGCACGGCTGTCAGGGAATGTTAATTTACACCCAGGACTGTCAGTTTGACCTCCATGTCTCCCTGAGCCGTGGGGACGAGACGCTGACTAAGGGCGGCTGGCCTCACCCACGGGTGAACAATGTTAATGTGATGTGAAGAAGTGCTGCGTGCCTTTTTGTTCATCCGTCAATGCTACAAGGACATGAACACCTTTGTTTTTTTCCCCCTCCTTGCATTCCCATCATTTCACTGTCATTGCGCAATGACCAACAATCATCACCACATAATCCACTGAGCACTTTAGACAGATGTGTCTCACCAGCCTGACTGGCACTCTCTCTACTTTGACATCTTGATACTGAACGCCGTGTCAAAAGGGTATTCGTTCCCACTTCTTTATTTTTTTGCTCATCAGAACCTTTTTTATGCGCCTTTGCTTCAAAGCTGTGTTTTTATTTACATCTCAGAGCACACAGATGTGCTCCTCAGCTGATTTCAGAGTGTGAGCGCGTGCCAGATATAGCAACAAAGGGAAGGCAGCATTTAATAATAGCCACATGAAATGTCACAACAGTCCCTCATGCATGATGTACTGACTTCTGACACAGAGTGACACTCACGTACTGTTTTCAGCTGAAAACATCTCTAAGTTGAAGGACTGGCAACAGTCTTCACTGCCCTGCGCTGCCTTATGTCAGTATTTATAGTAAATGGGTTCTTTGTAGCTTAGGAAGAGTGCAAGGACTGTTTGGCTGAGTGATGTTGTGCATTTGAGCTGCAGTCACTCACATTTCATGCTCCGCACTCGGACCATTCCAATGACAACAAGTCTGTGGCCCAAGGCGCAGCGCGCCCTTTTTATCACCATCAAATCAACCGGCCCGAATGTCAGAGCATCATCTCCGGCCGGCATCATGGCGACGCCAGACTAAATCACCGTCTTGCACTCAGACACAGCCATTTAACCATCAGAGTGTGTCAGGCGGACAAAGGCGTGAAGCCCTAGCTGGAAGAAGGCTCATCCACACACATGGCTTTCCCCCGTCAACAAACCCTCGCCGAGTCTAATTGTTCTGGCTGCTTCACAGCTGGAGGAGGGGGTGCAAATCTGTGCTTTTACGAAGCTGCTTTTTGCTACCTTTGTGATTCAGTGCATAAAACCAAATGTTTATGGTATGTTGGGACTTTTCCACCCATTTTAGGTGCGTTTTTGTGTAGAAATGATAAATAATTACCATTTGTCCAATTAGTAGCATTCTGAGTTTCATCTGTTTGGAGAAATAGCTTTTATGTCCTACAGCGAGCCTAAACCACCAGGCTAAGGACTTGAAAAAACTGCTTTAACACGGGTTTGTCATAGACAAACCCCCTTACATTTGCATGTCCCCACCCAACTGTGTGTGTAACGATAATGCTAACCCAAAAACCATGCTAGCTAGCCCAATCTACTGCTGATGCTAGCCTGAGCTACTGCTAACATTGATTGTTGTGCTATTAATGTATTGCTAAATTCCATGTGAGTATCTGTGTGATAAAAACTTGGCAAAGGGGTAGTGGTTCATGAAAATAATGTTGTAATAATAATGAGATGAGATGCCAATGACCAGTGGCATCTAGATCAATAGATAGATAGATCAATTCTTATGGATCGGACCCATAGTCTCTGATACCCGATCTAGAATTTTCTTCTATAGCTGTACCGATACAGATATTAAGATCGGATCGGTGCATCCCTAGTTTCTAGGGGTGTAACAATATCCAAATCTCACAATACGATATTGTCGCTATATGAACCTCATGGTATGGTATTTAATGCGATATTGTGGGGAGGTTCACGGTAGGGATGAGCGTGTACACCACTATCTGTATCTGTATCTGTTAAACCAAATAAATTATCTGCATCTGTATCGGTAAACGGAATGGGCGTGGCATAACCCGGAAGTGGGCGTGGTATAACCGGAAGTGGGTGTGGTTTACATCAATATATTACTTTAAGTCTGAAATTGATATGGAATGATCAGAAGTTGATATGTGTATTGTTTATTTGAAAACGATTTACAGAGCAGCCTCAGAATTGAGATTAAATATTTTTGATCACAATAGTAAAGGAACTATTACAGAACAAGTGTTTCAATAAAATCAGAACATTAATATTTAAGTGCATGGATTAATACATCTGAACTCATGCAGTAGGAACTAGGAAATATGAAATGCTAGAACCAGACACAACTTTATGTATATTTTTTATTTTAATTTGATTAAACAGATTTTTTTCTTAACGTTCTTGGCATTTTGCCCCACACAAAGTCAAACAAAACAATGTTGATTAAGGTGTGTGTGTCTGAGAGAGATAGAGGGAGAGAGATGGAGATAAAAAAAATAAAAAACCCGACCGGAGCGGAGGTAGTGAGTGACTGAAGCAGCACGTCAGCTCTGTCTTGTCAAATGCACCATGTAAGTTACGAAAAAAGTAACTTTAAATATTCAACCGAAAAAGAGACGAGCTGAAGAAAACCTAGGGAAAACTGAAGAAACCTGAGCAACAGTGAAGCAATCACAGTGAGATCCGTTACTGTCTGTGTGTGTGCGTGGATGAGCCGGACGGACTGCGCTCCCGGCCAGCTAGAGAGTTTTGTGAGAGGCGGGCGCTCTATGTGACTGGCCAATCACAGAGCGTGGACAGTCAGTTACCCAATGAGGATTTTCCTTCAGCTCGATTACAGATATTTACGAGGTTTACTCGTTTCATGCTCGTATTCGTCAAAAATGCTTTATCCGTACCGGATACTCGTCTGAAATGAGTATCCGGCTCATCCCTAGTTCACGGTATTGTGGCTATGCTCACAATAATAAGACTAACATAAAATACTTTGACTGGTCATTGATACATTTTAGGGATGTCCCGATCAGGTTCTTTTGCCTTCGAGTCCGAGTCATTTAATTTTGAGAATATGCCGATACGGAGTCCTGATCCAATACTTTTGATACATAAAAAAAATAAAGAAAGAAAAGGAGGAAACAGTTCCAGAATGTTCCTTATTTTTTATTTAATTACCTTTTTATTTTAATTTTTAACATCAGATCACTTCTGTGAGGTAGCTTGAACAATCAAGTAATAAATAACATAAATTCTTCACTTTTGAACTTTATTGCAAATATTAAAAAGACTAATATAAAAACAGAGAGCACTTCAACTTAAAATACCTGGCAGGGGTTTCTTTTGCCTTGGCCCCCAAAAGGCTTAGATACGTCTCTGGGCATGGGACGGAGTTTTGAAGAGGATCTGAATTGTATCAACTATATAAATACTACATGCTGATAAATTATTGCTTTATACAGGTACAAACGTGTAGTGAGATAAATCTACCCTTCTTTTTTTTTACCTCACAAGTAACTTTTTAACTAGCAGATCAAATTGATCTATTGAACGCAAAAAAAGCGGAGTGTGTGCCGCGCTGCCCGGCTGCACCAGTGACGAGCGCTGCAGCGGAGGCAGCTCGAGCGCGTCCACACGTCATGCTCAAATACAGACAGAACTTACCAGAGAGAAAATGAACAGACACGAATGACTGTGTGTTCATTATATATTTTAGGTGACGCCACTTAGAAAATTAGAAAATGTTTCCGTGGCCGTGTGCAAAACGCAGCTGGAGTTCATGAATAATCAGCGGTCTGCCTGCTGCTCTGCTCAAAAGAATCCCCGCTAGCTGAGTCCATTTAAATAATATAATATAGGTAGAAACTGGATCTTTTTTGGGGCTCCTTCTGGGTGTGTAAGTTAAGGGCATCAGGGGAGCCTGACAACCTTTAAGGAGAAAAGTTGCTCTCCTGTAATTTGAACCCAGTATCCGAGTCCGGATCGGGAAGTAAAGCCCGAGTCCCGATCAGTCTGAAACCACGTGATCGGGGCCGATTTCCGATCATGTGATCGGATCGGGACATCCTGTTGAGCGTTGCAGCATCAACAACGTTGAATCGAAGAAAGAAAAAGATGGGACCAAAAATGCTTTCTTCTGGTGTCTTTATTTTAGAACTGCGACACACACCTTTTTAACATCCACACCGGAGACCACGTTTTCCTCAACAACCGTTATTCCATGACATAGTGTGCGTGCCCCTCTGGTGGTGAAAAACTAAAAGTACAACCTTCTCAATAACACTTCAGTTTACACATCTTGGAACATGAGTACACAAATTTGAACATCTCAACACATCCTTAGTACATTTGTCATTCTTTTTATTATCATTATGACATTTTTAACAGCCTGAAAAAACATGAAGTGCAAAATTCCAGTAACAACTCAATATATATATTTTTTAAAAATGGCAAAACAGGTACGGAATTAACAGCCAAAATAAAGGCATTATTAAACAGCCCATTCAATAAATAAAAATACCAGGCTGTGTGGGCTGCACGCACTCCTAATGGTGAACTGGCCAACAGTGTTGGGAGCAATGCGGTACAAAAGTAATTAATTACTGTAATGCATTGCTTTTTGCTGTAATGTGGTAATGTAAGGCATTACAGGGAAAGAAAATGGTAATATTTACTCGGTACAATTGTCAGTAACGCGGTAATTACAATGCATTTTTAAACCCAGAATCAAGATGTGTTCCTTAAAAATTCAAATTGCGGGAAACCCGAAGAAAGATCCAGTATCTGCATATATTACGTCATTTATGGACTCAGCTTTGCGGGCAGAGAGGACGCAGCGGTACGCGGTAACGGACCGCGGTCAAGTGAGCCGTCATTTGTGAGCCGCGGTCAAGCCAGCCGCATCTTATCTTATCCGCCGCGAAAATTTCATTGCGCGTTTACAACAGTCAACGGCTCAAATACTCCAGCTGCGTCCTGCATGCGGCCGCTGCAACATTCACAAAGTCGCTCCACTAAAACAAAATAATTCACTTGCGATCGTTCATATCAGCGCATATTCTCTAGTATTTTGTGCTTTTCTGACGTGCTTTGCCTCAGCTGAGTTCATAATCTGTACCACGGTGATTTCAACTCATTGCTGCTGGAGCGCCGCGCATGTGAAGATCCCTTTGGCTGATCGTTAGAAAGTAGGAAGTCTAGGAAACAGTTTTTTTTCTGGAAGACGGAGAAAACATGCAGCATGCAGGAAGGTTAGAGAGAGAAAGGGCTGGAAATTATTCAAATAAAATCAAGAAAACAAAACAAAGTGCTTGAAAAGAAAAAAGTAGGTAGATTTATCCCCAATACACATTTTTACCAGTGAAAAGCAATAATATATAAGTATTTAATATTTATACATGTGATAGAATCAGATCACCCCAGAAGTCAGTCCCACATCCAGGGCCGTATCAAGGCATTTGGGGACCAAGGCAAATATAGGCTTGAAGCCCCCACCACCGCACTCCCTGATCAGTTAATATAAGATGGCAGCATGTTGAGAGTACAGATTGTTGTTGCTTTTATTTTATAAACAATCATTTTAAAGCACTGTTATTATATCTGACTGTTTTTAACAACAATTCTAGCTCAGACACCACATCACTTTCCACATATATGTCATGAGCTCACTGAGCGTCACATGACCAGATCCATATTGAAGTTGTATTGGTGAAAGTAACTCAGAGTAATGCAAAAGTAGTGTAATGCCTTACATTTTAAAATCAGTAATATTGTAATGTAATGAATTACTTTAAAATGAGGGTAACAAGTAATAAATAATGCATTACAGTTTTGAAGTAACTTGCCCAACACTGCTGGCCAATGACACAAAAGCAAAGGATCATGGTCTATGTAGTTGACTTTTCTATGCTCCTGTGGAGCTGACTGAAACGTGTTACTTTTACCTCAAGACGTACTGTACAATATCGTGACACAGCCATGATATTGTGGCCATTATACTACGGCGATATTGGCAAAATTGTTACAGCCCTGCGTGTTTCTTTACATTTACGCAGAAATGCAAATTAAATTGTCCTAAATTTCTCTCTTGGGAAAGCGATTGTTAGAGTGCAAATTTAACCAACTTGTTTTCTGTTTCAGAGGACCCAGCCCAAATCGGGAAAGGCATCGCTCTCATCACAGTGTTGGACATAAACGACAACGCCCCAGTCTTTGCTATAGAATACGACACAACCCTGTGTGAAAATGCCATGCCTGGACAGGTAAGACCCAGAAGCATCTCTGTAGTCAGTGTAGCACCATCTTCATTTTTCCTCTCTACGCATATCCTTGAAGTTTGACACACAAAGCCAGCCTGCTGATTCTCACAGCCATTAAAAAAAATAAAAATATCCTATTGCTCCAAACAGCTGCACCATTCTCAGTTTCCTGTCTGTAGCTAGGGGTTCTGCTAGGTTGACAACATCATTAGTAGGAGGCACAGCCTTAAGAGTTAATAGCAAGAATTGTAGGTGTTGCCATTCATTAGAGAAGTTTCTCCTATTCACTTTTTAAACTAGATGAGACTAGACATACCAGTGTAATTAGATCGTGCAGGGAACCAGGGTGGAAAATGCATCAGGATATTATGCAACAGCAACCAGTGTAATTTCAGGGCATGGAGATTTGTTTCTGAAAAGAAAGAACAGTAAAGAAGCTGTGTCCATGCTCACGTTTTCCCTGAGCATTTGGCTCCATTGTTGCCTGATGACTTGTGTATTTGTGGTGGTGATTTGTCTCCTCTTGGCATTTGGAAAATACAATAAGAAGCAAAGTCTAAAGGAGGCATGTGGCCCTGAGTAAGCACAATTGATCAGAGTGATGCATTTTTATTTGAAATGGCTTAGGCCTTCTTAAATATGTTATTGTTTGAATGCTGTAAAGCATTCAAACTTTTGTTTTCCTGTTTCTCTTTTTAGTTTATTATTCTGCTTCTGTACATTTTTGGCATTTAACTACTTTCACAATTCTTCAACTATTTACACAATTTTGGTATCAAAAAGTTCAGCTCGTTCAGCTTATGCCGGCAATGACTTTTGGTATTAAAATATTTTATACTTTTTGAGATACTCAGCTTTTTCTTGCATTTTTGGTTACACTGAAATGAATGGGATTGCTCAATTTTCAGCTAAATCCTATCACTTTTTAGAACTCTTACTCTTAAAGGTTAACTTTAACCTAGAGACTTCATTCAAGTTTCAACAAACTCACAAAACTTTCAGCTATTACTAGTTAAAAAATCTTTTTGATATCTATTACAGTTTTTCTAAAATCACAGGGAGAAGTTTAGGTACGGCTTGAGATTTTCAGAAAAAAATACAAAAATTATAATGGGCAGAGATAGGAGCAATAACCCTCCTTTGCTCCATTTCTGGCATTGTCCTGAGAAAACCGTAAGTCCATTGAAACGAAACGCATACTGGCTTGCATCTAACGGATATACCTTCGATTTGAGCTATAAATCATGAATGTACTCCAAACATTGTGGTCGTTTTGTTAATTTCTTTGAGAATATTCAAAATTTAAAAAAATGTCTCTCACCACTCAACCTGAAAATTCCACACTCTAACTTTTGACCTTCACATTTTCTGGAAACAACTTTTTCCAACACCCAGACCGTTTAGAGTACCAAAACAAATTATATCTCAAAAAGTAAGAATTTTTGTCAGCTTTTCAGAATGGGTTTCATTTTGCCCTTATGTGTTACGGTTCTTTCTCTACAAATGTCAGAAGGAGGAGAGACCCTGATTCTGTCTCACTGAACCCCATGAAAAACCCATGAATTTTTCCAATAGGTGCAGCAGTTTTTGAATGGCGATAAGACGTGTCAGAGGTCTGAAATTACATCTGAGCATCTGAGCACTGTTAAATGCATGATTTATGAAATATTGAAACACAAATTTCCACCGACCACATCTTTTAAAGTACACTTAGGATATTCTCAAATTCGTTAGGTTATTTTGTCCGCTTCAAATTGATATCTTCGATTTTGCTGTTGGTATTACATTTTTTGAGCTACATGCCCCAGAAGGAGGACTGTGCCAGCTTTCCTCCATTTAAACCCCTTTAAAAAAAAGGCACCTGTGGCCGACAGACAGCTGAAATGTTCTCCTCAAATCTTCTAGAACATTTGTGGTAGGCACACAAGACTTCACACACATGACCACCAAAGCCTTCTGCCGCCCACGCTTTTTGATTTTTTCAAATCGGTGCAGTATTTTTCGAATGGTGATGAGAAGTTTGACAGGTCCAATTTTACTTCTGAAGGACATATGTAAAGGCTTCTCTCATTAACAGGAGTACAGCTGCAGGTCTCCAACAGCCGGGGCAAAGGCGGGAAAACAGTGCTTCTCTCTGATTGGTTGAGAGTGTTCAACCATTTTCTGTCCAAGCAGGATCGAGCACCCACATATATGATACGTCAAATCGACCAGCTTGGTCTCAGGAATCATGTATTAAATTTTAAATGCGTCATCTGTCACCATGGTAACACAGGTGCATAAGGATATCCCCAAACAAGTCTCATTGAACCAAATGTGAAAAGCCCAATATTGAGCCTATAACATACTGCTGTTTCTTATCTTTCTGAGCTCTATACACTTAAAACTAGCAGCATATCTGACATTTTAACACTAGTCAGAACGCAGGAACCGTTAGAAGGTGGGAAAGTGCCCCGCTCCCTCCCAGCTCCCTGATTGGTTGAGCGAGGTCAATCATCTTCTGGCTAAATGGAATTACACACCCACACATGGGTGGCTTGGCCTAAGGAATCCATCCATCCATCGACATATGTATCCATACATGCTTCCACCCATCCATCCAATAAACCATCTAACATCCATACAACAGTCCATCCATCATTTCATTCATCCAATCATTCATCAATTCCATACCAAGTCTGAACATATGTTAATCTATCAGCTTCAGATATCAGTAAATGCTTCTAAATTCACAGTTCAGCCAATTGTAAAAATGTACCTATTAAACTATTCTCATTTAAATGCCAGCTGTTTAAACATTTCGACTTTTGAGTTTTTAATCAATGTTCAAAGATTGAAGCTTTCTGCTGTTTAGCATTTTTTTTGTCCATTCTACACCTATATTCTGAGTTTTATTACACTTGTTGGTGATTTTTGCTTCTAAATCTTTAAATACATTCAGCTCATTTTGACAGTTTAGCTTAGTTTCAGCTTCACTTCAGCTGTTCAGCAGCTTCGCAATCAGTTTCCAAATTTAGCATATGCTGCTAATTTCACAGTTTGGCAAAATGTTAAAATTAAACTGTTAAAATTGTCCTACTGAAATATCAGGTGTTTAGACATTTTAGCTGTCCAGATTTTTATACAATGGTCAAAGGTTTCAGTTTTCTGCTGTTTAGGATAATTTTTCTCTGTTATGCACTTACTTTTTGTGCTTTACTTGGTTGTTGGTGCTTTTTGCTTCTACATCTTTCAATATATTCAGTTCATTTGGACAGTTTTGCTTAGTTTCAGCTTCAGTTGAGCTGTTCAGCAGCTTCAGCTTAGTTTCAGCTATCCAGCATTCAAACAGTATTTTTGCAAGAAATGCAGATTTTTCTACATTGCATTCACGTCACCTGATTGTTTGTCATTGTTCATGGGCAGGGGAACAAAAATAGAAAACGATTTGCAAAAAGAATAGGTTGCTCATTTTCTTTCTTTCTGCATAATCTTTGACCAGTCAAGTTAATTTTTCAAAGAGATCACTGGTGTTTTGAGTTTTATGACTTTCTTGCAGCACTGACTTTGTAAGTCATTGCTTTAACGAACAGCTAAATGTAGAATTTGGATGCATTTCATTGCGTCACTGAACTAAAACATTCATTTAGTCTCGGCTCAGAACTATTCCGCTCAAAAGTATTTTTAAAGTCTATCTTTGTTTAAAGATCTTACCACGTTTGTTGTTGCTTAGTTATTAATTTTGGCCCCAGCCTGATAAATTACAGTGCACAAACTGAAACAGAAGTCATTCCTCAACAATCATACTGGCCTGCGGGACATAGCAGCAGCCATTGCCAATGACAGCATCATCAGGAGGAAAAGGTATAGCAGGTCTGTAATTACTCAACTGAAGCCGACAGATTGCTTACCTAACCTTAGAGATAGCTGGGCTACAAAGTTCCCCCCTCGGAGTATCCAGGGGCTCCTTTATTGTAAAGCGAGAAGCTGCAGTCGACCATAGCCTTTGTTCTTATCCATCCTGCAAGTTGACATGATGCATTTAAATTCTGTCAATACAAGCTGAAAGTTATGCAGTCTAAATGAGCTTCCATCGCTGTTGTAAACTTTTAATAGCAAAAGGACTACTGGTGTATAAGGAGTTGTTTGTTTGAGGAGCAGTGAAAGACTTTGAAGCAATGAAATTAGACAAGTTTCCTTTTGGTTTACTGGTTTTTCATTGCTTCTTTTTAAAGCTAGAAAAATCAGGCAAACACTCACTAAAAAGTGATATTGTAGCTGATAAAAGCTAGCAAATCAATGGATACTGCTAATGGAATATTTCATCAAGACACTATACTGAAGCCTAAATTAATTATTTTCTCAACACATTAAGCTATAAAAAGCATGCGGTCATAAGGTGGAGTGGCAATGGATTCCAATTATGATAAAGAACTTTACAGATTTAGGATTTAGTCCCAAATGCTTTGTTAGTAAGCTAATGGATGTTCATAACCCAAATCTATCAATAATGCTAGCTAACTGAAACATATAAACAGACATTAGACATGAGAATGTAGTCTGAAGACATCGTTTTCACAATGATGAAAAAAACCAAACAAAAAATATAAAGTCCATCCATCCATCCATTTTCATCCGCTTATCCGGAGTCGGGTCACAGGGGCAGTAGCCTAAGGCGAGAGGCCCAGACTTCCCTCTCCCCAGCCACTTGGGCCAGCTCCTCCGGGGGAATCCCAAGGCATTCTCTGGCCAGGTGAGAGACATAGTCCCTCCACCTTGTCCTGGGTCTACATTTAGGCCTCCTCCTGGTTGGACGTGCCCGGAAGACTTCACCAGGGATGCGTCCAGAAGGCATCCTGACCAGATGCCCGAGCCACCTCAACTGGCTCCTCTCGATGCGGAGGAGCAGCGAATCTACTCCGAGCCCCTCCCGAATGACCGAGCTTCTCACTCTATCTCTAAGGGAGAGTCCAGCCACTCTTCGGAGAAAACTCATTTTGGCCGCTTGTATCCGCAATCGTTTT